ACTTGTACTGACCCTCCTGTTTACAGCCTCCGAAGAGCTGGGATTACAGGGGAGCACCACCATGCCCAGTCTCAATCATTGTCTCAGTGCACCCCAGGGGCAAGGCCAGCACAGCAGACTCAGGGATTAAACTCCCAGCCCCCGAGTCTGCCTAAGTTCGAAATCTTTCTTGGAGACTGAAGGGAACAAGATTCAGAACCGTCCAGGGAGTCCATGGTCAATGCTAAGGTGGGCAGAAATCTGATAAAGTTTGAGATTGACACTAGGCACAGTACTCTAGTCAGTACTTTATTCCAGTCAGCCAGTCCTTGTGGGCCAACAGATGACCAGAGAGGACACAAAGCAATGTGAACCACAGGCTTTCTGTTATCTTTGGATCACCTGAGGAGGCTGTGAGATGATCCACCAGTTTCTGTATGCACTGGACTGCCCTTCCCCCTTGTAGGGAGGACTTGCTGGCCACATTAAGGGGAAAGATTGACATCAAGGCAGTGAAATGTACTTAGAGTGACCTTTGTCAAAGATGATTTGATTGTTCTGAGGGAGGAAGATTGGAGGGTTCATGACAAGCCTTAGGGGACAGTCAGACTGTCAAAAGATGGCCAAGGATCTTGGCTGAAGTCCATGCTCTAGCCACAGCAGTACACTAGACTCTTGTCACAGTGGATCATCCCAAGATATGGACTTTCTCTAAGCATGCAATCAGCTGACAGGCTAGCCTTTGCAATGTCCACAGTCCAACAAGTGGCCAAATCCTAAGCATAAAATGACACCTCCATGTCCTTTAATAGCAGTCCTAAGATAGGCTCTGGGAAGGTAGAGAGAATGAATAGGATTCTTAAGACTGTTGTAAGAAAAATATGTCCAGAGACAGGATTCACTTGGATCTGGGCTCTGCTATAGTGCTTTTCAAATTTAGGTGTACCCCAAATAAAATCACTGTCAACAGTTCCTGTGAGGTCTGTATGATAGATCCTTTCTTATTTTGAGGGGCTCACTCAGTCATTGACAGAACTCAGGGAAATAATTTTAGATAGCTAACTATGCTATCTCCCAACAAATTGCCACATGGATGCTGGTGGGATCCCCTTTTAATGTTCCCATCTCTTCTTTACTTCTCTTCTCTCTAGGAGCAAAGACCCCATAGGAGACACCAACCTCATGTTGAGTTCAAACAGGCCAACAGGAGACAACGCCTTTCTCAAGGACAACAGCCTTGCCTAGTCACTCCTCAGGGGGACCTAGGCAGAAGCTTGAGGACAACATTCATGGGAAGACGCCTCTTGTGAAGGCTGCCTATAATGAGCGGTCACCCATTGCTTTCAACTACATTTGTGTGTGATCTTTGCTTTTTGCCATAGGCCTTGCTGAGACAGCCCCACCTAAGTAGAGCAAGTGTGAAAAATGTTTGTTGAGTTTTTTGTTTATTCCTTATGTGGGATGTTTTCTGGCTATAAACTGACTGCTGTAGGGCTATTCTGTCTTCTAAATGCTCCTTTAGTTCTGGCCCAAGAAAGCAAGGGAGAAAATGAGTGCCGCCCATGTAGACAAGTCACCCGTTCAGGTACCACTGTGACAACCTCCTTTCTCTTTCACACTTACTACCATTGTTCAGGAAAACTGAAGGGAACCTGTAGGCACAATGGCACCCTATATCTTATCTGTGACCCAGGAAAAGGTGAACCATTCGTGTGCTATGATCCAGCCTTCCCCGCACGACTCTCTGTTTATGAACTGAGGGCAAGGAATAGTCGCGGTCCCCTCATTAACCAAACCCAGGTAAAGGGGATAATCCCATCAAAGGTAAATCTGTACTTTGATGCTTGCAAATTGATTAGCTACACTGACTTGGGTCCTACTTGTGGAAATCTCTGGTGGGAACGCCAATATATGTTGGAACACAAATACATGTGTGAGAGAGACCCACAGAAGGATTGTTGGGTTCCGGATTACTATTTTTGCCAAAGTTGGGCTTGTGTCAAATGGGCAACTTGGCATGGATCAGGAGACACCATGCTCCTCCGAAGGGGGGTATCCAGCTCCGATTGTGCACATGGGTCTTGTAATCCTTTGATCCTTACACTTAATTTCCCACAAGATTGGCGATGGTTGCAGGGGCGACAGTTTGGACTTCTAATAGATGGGAGAGGGAAGGACCCGGGAGCCATGGTCTTTATCCAACGAAAGCATTACGTTCCTCTGGCCTCTAGTTTTAGAGTACTTGACTCTGTCTATGAGGAGCCCTCCCCAGCCCTCCCCAAGTTGAGAGTTTCCGGGAAAAACTTGTTCATTAAATTAGCTGAAGACATAGCACACGCTCTCGAGATTAACTCGTGCTATGTGTGTGGGGGGGCACTTATAGCAGTCCAGTGGCCTTGGGAGGCAAAAGAATGGGATTCTGAAGGCACCATTAATATGACCCTTACAACTGAGAGATCTGACAGCCAACCTTCAAGACGAGGAACTCATCCATGGATCTTAAAGACTAGTATAATAGGAAAAAACTGTATCTCCCGCTGGGGCCCTAATTACACCCAGCCTGTTGGGGAACTTACCTGTGTAGGAAAGAAATTCTACAATGCTACGTCCCAAAAGACAGAATGGTGTGGTAACCAGACTGACAGAAACCCCTTTCAGAACTTTACTGATCTCACTGATATCTGGAATGATTTAGGGAAAGCTCACCATTGGCGGGCTCCAGTGGGTCTATATTGGATCTGCGGGAACCGGGCATACGCTCAATTGCCCGCTGCATGGACAGGAGCATGCGCACTAGGAACAGTGAGGCCCTCTTTCTTCCTCCTTCCATTAAGGGAAGGAGAGCTTCTAGGATTACCCCTTCATGTCTCTCATAGTCAAAAAAAGAGAGAATTGGGAGAAATACACCCTGGAGATTGGAAGGACCATGAATGGCCTCCAGAGAGGATTATCCAATACTATGGCCCAGTCACCTGGGAAGAGGACAGATCCTGGGGATATGGAACTCCCACGGATGTGCTTAACAGAATAATTCAGCTACAAGCCAACCTAGAGACCAGTGAGACTTCTGGGGCTTTGACCATCCTGTCAAAACAACAAACCAAAATTAGAAACGCTGTCTACCAAAATAAGCTGGCTATTGATTATTTATTAGCAAAAGAAGGGGGGGTTTGTGGGAAATTCAATTTGTCCAACTGCTGCCTGCAGATAGATGACAAGGGAGAAGTTATTAGTGAAACATCCTAAAAGATTCCTCATGTACCAGTAAAAAGTTGGAATAGGTAGGACTCTAAAAAGTTTCTGGGGAGGCTGGTTCTCAGCACTGGGAAGCTTTAAGACCTTTATAGGAAGAGTTGTGGCAGTGGTAAGAGTCTGCTTAATTATTCCTTGCCTACTTCCATTAGGAATGAGATTGATAAACTTTATTATAAAACCCACCATGAACCAACAGATAACATCAATAATACATTAAGAAGGAATTTATCAACCCACATTAGGGTCTGACTAGATTGTACTATGTGAGACACCTCAATCAGAGCCTCAAAGGAGGAACAAGAGAGAAAACAAAGGGGACTCTACATGGGGTAATGGAGAAAAGCAAGCTAGGTAGGTGTGGAAACCCCAGTGCTCGGTGGACACTAAAGAACATGGCGAAGTAGGCATCACCCTGCCCTGAGGTGGAGGAACAGTGTGTCCTGCCCCCCAGATGCTGTTCTGCTTCTGTGATTGTGCTTCCTGTAAACAAACTCCTTGAGTGGAAAAATACCCCATAGAAGTAAGATGGTATAAAAACAAAGCTGAGCTTGACTTGAGGCTCCCAAGAAGATGCTAGTTCTTTGCTTACTTGCCAAAAATAAAGCTGCTTTGCTCTCATCCCGTGGTCTGGAGTTGCTGTCTAGCATGGTTTATCTATTTCACTCTGCCATCTGTGTCATAGCAAATGTTAGGATTTCATTCTTTTATTTAACATAACAAGATAGTATTCTACTATATACTTATTAGGTATGAACCCACGCAATCGACCAGACTAGGCATTCTGATGCGAGTAGATGATTTATTGGGGGCATCAAGCAGCAAATAAATGGGGCACAGGGACTTTTTAGGACCTTTTAGGGAGGGTGACGTGGACTGGAACAGCTGAGAGAGAGCTAATCTTGGCAGGCTACCTGGTCTGTGGGGGACCTTTAATGTTAACAAAGGAGAGTTTCTGTGGTTGCTTGCCCAAGTCAGTCAGGTGGACCTGAACTGAGGTTTTGGGTTTGGCTCTGTGTGGGGCCAAGGGGGAGAGGTTGGGGGCAGGGTGCCTGGGAAACCAAGAGGGAGAGTGTTGGGGCAAGGTGCCTGGGAAACTTTGAATCCTGACCTATCACTTATATATAGCATTTAAAAAATTTAAAGTTCACATCATGATAGAATTTTCAAAATCTGTTATTTGATAAAATGGAGCTATTTAGAAAATTAGAGATGAAAAGGACATTTTATTGTTGCATGGAAAAGTGAGGATATCAAATTACAAGATAGATAAATAAAAATATAGAAAGGGTCAAATAACTCATCAAATTTTCTGTTTGTTTCAAAAAATCTTAATATATACATTATATTTTCACATATACCACTAGCTTCTCTTAGTTTATTGAAAAGAAAGCTTTGTGCTACTATCTGTTTCTTTTTAGAAAGAGAGAATCATTTTGTCTATATCTTGTACTGTGAGTACTTATTTTTTTAAATTAATTTAATATTTTATTAAGTTTAATGAGAAAGAAAAAGCAACAGTTTCAAGGCAGGTTACAAGGACAGTTAAAATAATTCATACATTGCATATTGTTGTCTTTGTAGTAATTTTCCAGAACTGAATACCTATTTTGAAAATAATAAGACTCAGTG